GTTGCATTTGCTGGCTTCAATTTTGAATGAAGATTGTGATTTTAAGATTCCTCATTGGAATGGGTGTTTGGACATACCCAATTCTTAAAGGAGGGATTCCTTTTTCCATAGAATCCGTCTTCTAGTTGTTGTTCAAGAATTTTGAACTGTAGCACTTTACTCTGTTTGTCTTCTAGTGCTTGTTTAGGAATTCTGGACAGGTTCTTCAATTTTTAGAGGTCCAGACTTTGTCTTCGAGTCATTTGTTCTTGAATCAGCATAATTATCTTCAATCTAGCCGTTGAAAATCAAGAGATTGATTTTTCCTTACCAACGGGTAGAATTTCTTCATTCAAGACTTAGATAATTTTCTAAGTCTTTTCTCACTTGTCCGCTTTTTGAGAATTCCGGTCTTCCTTGAGGTATCCGATTCTTAGTTGACAAATCCGGAAGAGTCATACTCAGTCTTCCAGGTGAGAAAGAAATCCGCGCTAGTCTTCCGACTTAGCCTTCAGAGGATTGTAACGAGACATCCGGTTCTCATGTAGTATTCCGGATAGGAGGATTTTCGTCTGTTTTGAGAGATCCTTACTTGTCTCTGACATTTCCGATCAAGATATCCAATTTCCAAATTTCTGAATTTGATTAAGTCTTCAGGCATCAAACCGCTTAAAGAAATATCACAACTTTATTGGAAATCTCAAGAACTTGGTTTTAACAATATTTCTAAAAGGAAAAATTACATTGAATATCTGGGGAGACCTAAAGTCCCTATTTTATTCTAAATACATCATCATCAAAATCTATGATATTTTTCCCAACATGATTAAATCCATTTGGATCTTACTTACTATCGCAGCATACCATGATTACGAAATCTGGCAGATGGATGTCAAAACAGCTTTCCTTAATGGAAACCTCCTTGAGGATGTCTTTATGACACAATCTGAAGGGTTTTGCGCTCTTGAAGAATCTACCAAGTTATGCAAGTTGCAGCGATCAATCTACGGATTGAAGCAAGCCTCACGGAGTTGGAACATCCGCTTTCACGAAACTGTCATCGGCTTTGGTTTTGAAAGAAATTCGGACGAATCTTGTGTATCCAAGAAGGTCAGTGGGAGTGCTGTAGTCTTCCTTGCTCTGTATGTTGATGACATACTGCTCATAGGAAACGATATTCCTACTTTAACCACTGTCAAAACGTGGTTGAGTAAGAGTTTCTCTATGAAGGACTTGGGAGATGCCAGTTATGCACTTGGCATAAGGATCTATAGGGATAGATCACGGAAGCTGTTAGGTCTCAGTCAAAGTACATACATAGACAAGGTCCTCGCTAGATTCAGCATGTCTGAGTCGAAACGAGGAAGTTTGCCTATGGTCCAAGGCACGAGTCTTTCCAAGACTTGGGGTGCTTCCACTCCGGAGGAAGTAGAACGCATGAGAAATGTTCCTTATGCGTCGGCCATTGGATCCATCATGTATGTGATGGTATGTACGAGACCTGATGTCATCTTTACTCTGAGTGTCACAAGTAGATACCAGTCCAACCCTGGCAAAAGCCATTGGACGGTTGTGAAGAACATCCTAAGTACTTCCGTAGGACTAAGGATGCCTTCCTGGTATATGGCGGAAAAGAAGAGCTCAGTATTGTTGGATATACTGATGCCAGCTTCCAAACTGATATAGACGACTTCATATCGCAGGCAGGGTATGTGTTTTGTTTGAATGGCGGAGCTGTTACCTGGAAGAGTTACAAGCAAGATACTACCGCTGATTCCACTACAGAAGCAGAGTACATGGCTGCAGCCGAGGCAGCCAAGGAAGGTGTGTGGCTCAAGAATTTTATTACTGAGCTTGGAGTGGTTCCTAGCATCAAGAACCCTATATCGTTGTTTTGCGACAACAGTGGGGCAATTGCACAAGCGAAAGAACCTCGGTCTCATCAGAAGACCAAACACATCGTTAGACGTTATCACATCATACGAGAAATCATTGCACGTGGGGACGTTGAGATTTGCAAGATAGGTACAGACGACAATATCGCGGATCCGTTGACAAGGGCGATGGGAAAGCCTAAACACGAGAGTCATACGTGGTCCATGGGCATTCGAGAAATGCTTGATTGGCCTTAGGGCAAGTGGGAGATTGTTGTATTTAGGTGCCCTAGCGGCAATCAAATACCTATGTAAATGTACACTTTATCATGAATGAAAGGCCTTGAAGTATGTTTTATATCTCGTGTAACATAACATAGCTTCAGTCCATAGACGATAGCGCTTCAGTAACATAGATGAGGACTACGATGTTCTGATTATGAGACTGTTACTTCTTGACGAAGGCTATGTTTAGAATATCCCTAGTCGCACTTTATGATAATACGGACGTCATAACATATCAAGACTAGTACGTACGAGATGAGATAGTTGCGTCTCATAGACTATAGGTATTGTGATATCTTAATCTGTACGTAAGTGCATATTATATTGATAATGTGTGACCTGATTGACCCATCTTGAGAATACTACATGGATCTACAGTAATGTGTTTATCAGTATTCTCAAATCGACCTTGCTATAACTATCCTCATACTAAAAGTTATTACATTCTCTGATATGTGGGGCCGTATGCTTTGATTCATAACTAATGCTATCTAAAATACTGGTAGACGTACAGTTATGCGTTGGGTATGCCACTAAGCATATTTAGAGATGTGAATAAAAGATACAGGATCTGTCCCTTCTACTGTATAGAAGTATAATGTCAATGGGCCCACTGAATAGTAGGACTTGGGAAAGTGCATGGCCATGCCCAGATATGTCGCTATCTAGAGACTGATAAATATCTTATCACTGCTAGTCTACTAGAAATTCAGTAACAGATGATTTAACTATACAGGGATACACATCCCATGCCTTGTGTTAAATCATGAAATTTAGGACAGAAGGATAATAGTTATAGAATGTCTTGTGTCGTAGAAGATATTGATGAGATGAATTTCTTTTTCATAATCAGGGGGTAATAATGTGTTGCTAAATACCGCTTATTATCTATGGTATTAATTTTATTAATATCATTGCCAGTGTTATGGATACCTAAAGGGTCACACGCTTAGGACTTGTAAGGGAATAGTATACTACACTAGTGGGAGTAATATTAAATATATAGCTGTAATAATTTTATATATATATATATATATGTATTTCGAAAATACATATGTACTTTAAAATTATATTTTGTTTGTGTCATTTTAATTATATGATAATTATATTTTGACAAAACAAATTTTATTATATATATATATATATATATATATATATATATATGTAGCGCCGATATATATATATATATATATATATTACTTTTATTTTCATCATTTTAATTATATGATAATTATTGATGTAAAAATAAAATGTAATGTATTTTAATATGCTATGGCCGAAATTCTAAGGGGAAAAATACAAAACATATTTTGATTGGGGACATTACACTAATCTCATTTTGTTTTGTCCCAAAGCAAATTTCTAGAAATTCCTTAATGTATTATGTTATAAAATGAGAAAAATCCCTCCCCATTTTTAGTGTGATTTTTGGCCATTGAGAGAGAGAGGAGAAAATTATTATTTTGTGTTACAAGTTATTTTTCTAAAGTGTTAGAAATATACACAAAATATTATAAAGAAATATTTATAAGATAAATATTTTACTATATATTTATTACTCCCAAAGTAGTATTATTATAGTTTTTACTATCCTAAATTAAACTTGCTAGCACAAGTTTAATCTAGGACTCCAGAGCAAGTTCGTGTGGATACGTTGGAGGCTTCATACGTTTGGCGCTACGTTCATCTCCTCAAAACCATCCCTGACCGTTCCTCCGTTCTCTGTTTGCACCGTTAAGGTAAATTTCTTACTATAGCTAGTAATTTACGTAAGTTGTTCTTGGGTGGAATCGAGTTTTGGACTATAAATTTTTGTTTTCTGCTGCGTTATCCAAGCCTCGTTTCCCAACAGGTCATATCCGGGAAGTCAAATATCCGGATTGGCTTGCCAACGTGGTCCTTGCTCCTAAGGGTGACACATGGAGAATGTGTGTGGATTACACAGACGTAAACAAGGCTTGTCCGATGGACTCATACCCCCTTCCCAGCCCAGATCAAATGGTGGACGAAAGTGCGTGGTGCGAACTCCTAAGTTTCATGGATGCCTTCAAGGGCTACCACCAGATCTACATGGCCAAGGAAGATGAGGATAAGACGTCATTCCTCACGCCCGAATGAACCTACTGCTACCGGGTAATAGCGTTTGGCTTGAAGAACTCACGAGCAACTTACCAACGCATGGTGAACAAACTCTTCAAGCCACTACTAGGGAAGACCATGGAGGCATACGTCGACGACATGCTGATCAAAAGCAAGGTATCTCTCAACCACCCGGCTAATATGCGTGCCACATTCGATATCATGGCGAGGTTCAATCTCCGGTTGAATCCTAGGAAGTGCGTCTTCGCGGTTCGCACCGGGAAGTTCTTAGGATTCATGGTGACCAATAGAGGAATAGAGCCCAACCCTGAAAAAATCCGGACTATCACTAAAATGCAAGCCCCTACCTCTGTTAGGGATGTTCAAAAGTTGACCGGTCGTCTAGCGGCCCTCAGCCGGTTCCTGTCCTGGTCAGCTGAGAAATCCCTGCCCTTCTTCAAAGTCCTGAAGAAAGCCAACACGTTTGCATGGGACGAAGAGTGCCAGAGGGCATTTGAGGAACTGAAGGAGTACCTGGTATCAGACATTGTGTTTTCAAAACCCGAGCCGGGTGAACTTTGTATCTGTACTTAAGGATTTCCCCAAATGCTGTAAGTTCCGTTTTAATAAGAGATGATGGGGCACAAAAGCCCATTTATTATGTGAGCAAAGCACTAAACGGGGCAGAAAGTAGATATACGGCGATGGAAAAGACTGCGTATGCTCTTTTCATCTCCGCCAAGAAGTTAACATCCTACTTCTAAGCTCACCCGGTGGAAGTGCTGACTGACCAGCCACTGGGTGCAGTGTTGCGAAACTCAACATCCTCCGGGAGGATGGTGAAGTGGGGAATGATGTTAACTCAATTCAACATTGAGTACCAGCCAAGATCAGCAATCAAGGGACATGCCCTTGTAGATTTCCTGGTGGAAATGACCGGTCTAACTTCAGACCTACCAGTCAACAAGCCCACGGAGCAATGGTGGGAGATGGCAGAAGACGGGGCATCTCGTCCTAGAGGATACGGGGGTGGTATAGTGTTTACCACCCCAGAAGGGTTCAAGATCTACCATGCACTCGTCTTCAACTTCAAGCGGACGAACAATGACGCAGAATATGAAGCTCTAGCTGGAGGGCTCAGGCTTGCTCAAGCTCTCAAAATTAGCAGGGTCAGCATCAAATCTGACTCTATTCTGATTGTTGGGCAGGTGACCGGTAGCATGGAAGCAAGGGAAGGACGAATGGCGCGATACAAGGACCTGGGGCTTGCCTTGTTGAAAGGCTTCGAGGAATTCAAGATTGCCCAAATTCCCTTGGCAGAAAACGCAGATGCAGACCTTCTCTCCAAATTGACGCAGTATGCTCCCGAGCATGTTTCAAAACTTTCCCGGGTAGAAATCCTTGACCATGCAAGCATTGAGAAATTGGAAGTGGCCACTATAGCAGCAGCCGACCAATCTGACCGGTCAAACACGGTCGGGGCGGACGACCATTGGATGAGCGAACTTATGAAATATTTGACAAACGGGGGCTTGCCAGAACAAGATGACCGGGCAAGAAAAGTGAAGCTCAGGCCGCCCCGGTTCCAAGTCATTGATGGGATGCTGTACAAAAGGGCATTCAGAGGACCACTCTGTTAGACAAATGTGCAACTCTAGAGGGGGGGTGAACAGAGTTGTTTTCAAGAATGTGCGTTTTTCACGTGTGTAAAATAATAAAATCGCAGGAATAAATAAAGAGAGTAAGGGAAAGAAGAACACCGAGATTTATACTGGTTCACCACCTCGTGGCTAGTCCAGTCCTCCGAGAGACTCTCTCGAAAGTCCTACTAATCTTCAAGCTTCAACGGGTGCTTGAAAAACCGGTATAACTTGAGAACTTGAATCACACAAGCCTCACTTTCTTACAACAACAAGACTTGAGTCACACAAGTCTTAAGAACAACACTCAAAAGAGATTGAGTTTACAACACAAGAATGAAAGCTCACACAATTGAGCAAAGTAGTGTTGAAGAGTTAAAGTTCTATGGATGACAACTTCTTTAGCACTCAAAGAAAATATTTCTAACTCTCAAAAATAATAATTTGATGAGGAAGATGAAGCAAAGAATGAATATAGCTCAAGAATATATTGAACTGCAAGAGATGTGTGTTAAAATGAAGGAGAAAGAGGGATTAAATAGGCTGAAGAAAATAGAACCGTTGGAGCAGGCTGAGAATAGGCACCAGACAAAATTAATCGATTAAAGTGGAGAAATTAATCGATTAGACAGCGCTGTCTGAACTAATCGATTAAGGTGAAGAAAAAAATCGATTAATTGGAAAAAAGTCTTCAGCGAAGAATGCAATCTTAATCGATTAAGTTTGATGGAAATATCGATTAGACTGCGCTGTGAAAACTAATCGGTTAAATGAATAAGAAAAATCGATTAATAATGAAGGCTTGAGAAATCCGGAACTAGATCTAATCGATTAAATTAGAAAAATTAATCGATTAAAGTGGAAATAATGCGCAAACATAAAGGCCCCAAGCCAAGTGCGATTGGAAGCCTTTGGCTTCTAACTCGTTGTTTGGGACAACGAGAATATCAACGGACGCTCCATCTCCTATTCAATGAATCTGAGTAGGGGAGAGAAAAAGAGTCCAAAAATTATTTTGTGTGTCAAACGATGTACATGAAAAATATTTAAATTATATTTTTCTTATCAAAAAAAATTGTGTAATCTTAAAAAATGTTTTCAAGAAATTTTGACACACTTATTTTGAAACTGACTCAGTAAAATATTTTAGGCAGAGGAAAAGTAATTTTTCAACTGACTCAAAAATAATTATTTTTATCCCTCAAAAATAATTTGTTTGTGCAAAAAAAAAAATTGTCATCCTTACAAAGATTCCTAGACTTAATTAAAAAATAAAAAAGTCTTCGGAGTCTTCACTTCACTTCAAAAAAATCTGCGTAGGGGTGATCGTCGATTTTTTTATCGCCGTAAACTTCTTGTTACCCTTCTTTGCTTTTCTCGATATGAAAATAAATTTTCGATCAGCTTGAAATTAATCATCCTGTTTGTCATTCATCAAAACAGAAAAATATTCCAGAAGAGATAGTAAAGGGGTTTGATCTCATGTCCAACAATTTCTCCCTTTTTGATAATGACAAACATAGTTGAGAAAGAGCAAAGTAAGAGTTCAAAAATTACTTCCTTTTCAGAATAATTTCCCCTGCAAGGTTAGAGAAGTGCAGTAAAAAATAATCGGAGTAATAAGCGGAAAAACGATTTTAAAAAAGTTTCTCAACTATCCTTCCTTCCCCCTTTTGGCATTATCAACCGATAACCTTCCCCGTTAAACAATGCCGGGATATTGAAGGATAAATTAAAAAATGGCAAGAGTTTTCTTTAAAAGATTCTTAGTAAGAAAAGCCACAAAGAGACAATATGTTCTAAACAAGAACAATATTGCCAACCCAACAATGATATCAATACACAATCAAAATTAATATCAACTAGCATCATTGAAAGGAACATCATCATCCACCAAAAGAGTCATAAAACAATAACATTATCAACAATACCTTTTCTCGCCAAGCGAGCATCAAATTCATCAAAGACGACATGAATAGATTCCTCTACGGTCTTAGTACGCTTGTTGAACACTCTATATGCCTTACTACGAAGAGAATAACCTAAGAAAATTCCTTCATCCGACTTAGCATCAAATTTTCCCAAGTTATCTTTTCCGTTATTATGAATGAAAACTTTACATCCAAAGACATGAAAATAGGAAAGGTTAGGCTTTCTTCCTTTGTAAAGTTCATAGGGAGTTTTCTTGAGTATCGGTCTAATGACGGCTCGATTTAACACGTAGCACGCGGTACTCACGACATCCGCCCAAAAGTATTTAGGAAGGTTTGCCTCATTGAGAATAGTTATAGCCATCTCTTCAAGAGACCTATTTTTCCATTCAACCACGCCATTTTGTTGTGGTGTACGAGGGGCTGAAAAATTATGCTCAATGCCTAATTCGTCACAAACGACATCAAAGCCGTCTTGATCAAATTCTCCCCCATGATCACTTCTAATGGATGCAATGTGAGAGTCTTTTTCATTTTGAACCAATTTAATGAATTTCTTAAAAGCATTAAGTGCATCATACTTATGAGCAAGTAAGAGTGTCCATCTAAACCTCGAATAGTCATCAACGATAACAAAGCCAAAGTAATTACCTCCTAAACTCATAGTTCTTGAAGGTCCAAAAAGGTCCATGTGCAAAAGTTGTAATGGCCTAGTCGTAGAAACAACGTTCTTTGACTTAAACGAGGCCCTTACTTGCTTCCCCTTTTGACATGCATCACAAATTAGATTCTTCTCAAACTTAAGTTTAGGAACACCAATTACTAAGTCTTTNTCTTTTTCATTTTGAACCAATTTAATGAATTTCTTAAAAGCATTAAGTGCATCATACTTATGAGCAAGAAAGAGTGTCCATGTAAACCTCGAATAGTCATCAACGATAACAAAGCCAAAGTAATTACCTCCTAAACTCATAGTTCTTGAAGGTCCAAAAAGGTCCATGTGCAAAAGTTGTAATGGCCTAGTCGTAGAAACAACGTTCTTTGACTTAAACGAGGCCCTTACTTGCTTCCCCTTTTGACATGCATCACAAATTAGATTCTTCTCAAACTTAAGTTTAGGAACACCAATTACTAAGTCTTTATAAACCAACTTATTAAGATGTTCCATATTAACGTGAGCTATCCGACGATGTCATAGCCACGTTTCTTCCTCTTTGGTAATGAGACACTTAGCTAAAGTAGACGGGGAATTTTCAAGATCAAACATGTAAATGTTATCTACTCTACTACCACAAAGAATAGTCTTATTGTCACACAAGCGTTCTACAATGCATTTTCTAGAATCAAAGATGACACGGTTACCTTTATCGCACAATTGGCTAATGCTAAGAAGATTGTGCTTGAGGCCCTCAACAAGAAGAACGTTCTCAACGGTTGTAGCATTGTCCTTTCCGACGGTGCCACTTCCAATGATTCTTCCTTTGTTGTTGTCACCAAAAACAACATTGCCACCTTTGAAATACTCTAAACTCCTAAATTTGGATGCGTCTCCGGTCATGTGCTTGGAGCATCCGCTATCGAGATACCAAGAGGTAATCGAAGCCTTCAAGCACACCTACAAAAAGATATCAAGGAGACGGTTTAGGTACCCATGTATTGTTGGGTCCTTTTTGGTTAGCATATGTGCGATGTGTGTGCGTTTGTTGAAAATGCCTAATTTTGGTGAAGCACACGGGTGCAATGTGACCTATCTTATTGCAATAGTGGCAAATAAAATTTGGATTATTCATCCTATATGGTTGAGTGTAATGAGTTCTAGGTTTGCTAGGATGTGCTTTTCTAGTTTGATTATTTATCCTAGCATTTTTATTCCCCCTAGCTTTAAATAATGTTGTTTTTCTAGGTTGGTTTTTCTTATATCCGTGTCCTTCACCATTACTAACTTTTTGCTTAAGTATTTTATCTAAGGTGTTTGAGGCATTATTGAAGTTTCCCAATTTGCTCTCTAAACTAGCGACCTTAGCTTTTAGTGATGTACAACTAGAGCATGTAGAAGAAGAAGTAGTTGAAGGTTCTTGTGGCCTTTTTCCAAAAGAGATAATTTCTTGTTTAAGTTTATCATTTATATTTTTGAGTTCTTTGATTTCATTCTCAAAAATCAGGATTTTTTGCTTTATTTCATTGTTTTCTTTGGAAGCCTTTTTGAACATTCTTAC